TTAATGATGAGAAGATCCATAAAGGGTAAGGATTTATTCTCTTTCATTTCCATTGTGAACCTAATGTTCCTTTCACGCTGGTTGAGTAAAAGTAGGAAATTATCTAAACTTCAGAGGTTGTTTGACCTGTTTTCGCAACTTAGTCATATTGGTAGCAAGACTTAGAGGAGAGCATCTAGTCCGGAGTCAAAGGTATGCATGATAATTTCCAAAGTCGAACCGTAGACGGGGCACATTCCAAGATGTTTCGCTGGCATCGTCAGTGAGTCTTGCCATTCTTAGCACCACACTACAACTCATCAAAGAGACGATACGTGCTCCCAAAGGAGCACACCACACTACATCTGAATAAGCACGGTAAAAAGTTGTAACATTGAAGGCTTGATACGAGGATATAGGAAATGTGAATAGCCCAGGGCAGGAGAGATACCACAACTGTTTAGCACACGTTTGGTCAACAAAGGATCGGCTATTATCTCTGTCGAGTTTAATGTGGTGCTAAGGATGGCAAGGCACACTGACGATGCCGGCGAAACGTCTGAGAATGTACCACGTCCACGTTCCGACTTTGGAAATTATCATGCATACAATGGACTCCGGACTAGGTGCATTTCTCTAAGTCTACCAATATAACCTAGTTGCGCAAAAAGGTCAAACAATCTCTATACAACGAAAGGAGACTGCTACCACACAAAAGGCCATACCATCTTGGTCTTCATATCTTCGATTATCTAAACTTTCCTTACCATGCGACCATTTGGCAAAATAGTCATCCATGTATCTAACCAACAATTGCAGGAAGTGTTCCTCCAGTTTTCCCATATAATTGTTGGCCAAGATGGGAGCCAGACAAGATCTCCTTAGATAAGGTTGTTAAAGGGACTTTCGTTTCGTATAAAAGTGCATGAAGAAGGGATTCGTAGGTCGATCTTACCAGAACGGATGAATACTATTGTACTGCAGCCGTTTGTCCTTTATACGACGTTTAGGTTGACAATCCACGGGACGTCCCTCATTTTGATAACTCTGATTTAAGACTGGCATCGCCTATAGACGCTAACACACACGAGAAAATTATCCGGACCAGTATGAGAGATAATTAGCCAAACCACTCTGTATCTATCTAGGTTTTTTTAATTTTCTTTTGACTTAATTTAATCAATGTAAGAGGTAATATAGAGCCGGATAGTTTTCTTGCCCTAGTGTTAACGTAAGACTTTTACAGGAATGAGACCCAGCTCTGATGGTGTCCATCATATGATCGACTAAAGCTCAGCCTGGTTTCACCCGAAACGAGGGAGGTCTCGTGGGCTGTCAACCTGAACGTCGTATAAAAGCTAAATGGCTACAGTACAGCGGGATTCATCCGTCTTTTTCTGGTGATATCGACCTACGAATCTCTTCTTGCACTTTCATACAAAATGAAAGTACCCCCTAACAATGAAATATTTGTGATCACAGATGCATCTGTTAATTAAGGAAAAGAGTCAGGAGAGATGTAAGCGGAGAGTGTTTCGAAAAATGTGCCACATCAAGGTACAAATCCGACGGGGAGATGCTAAATATCGCGGTGAAGTGACCAAGTCTTTCAACAAACAAATAAAGGGCGCATGTTAGTCATGACGGAGAGGAAACAATTATCGGCTGTCAACAAGGGGCCTGAAAGCTGAACAGAATGAATACAAATAGGCAAATCGGCTAGTGGGCAATTGACTCACGATTAGGGAGAGATTAAGGGCCACAGACAGTGTACGATTTGCCGAAAAGAACGCGAAATGAAAATTCTGAGACAAAAACGGGCAAGCGTAAACACGAGAATTAGCGAAATTCATTGACTTAAAATCACTGAAAGTTACTGCTAAGCTATCGAGTGTGGCGGAACAGAGCTATTAGTAGGCCTCGATGCACACCTTATACAGCCCTGGAGATCTAAAAAAAGATATGAATACTGCGTTAGCTGGGAACTTGGTTCACCAAATACACGATGAATGCCGTTAAATGCACGTCTAATGGCCGCATCTGCACATTTGGTCTTCCCGTGGAATTACCAATCTCACCTCTTGGCTAAAGTATACATAGTTCAATTAGACAATTACAAGATGCCACTTCAGCAGACGATGCATGGTCAACTACTTTGCATTCTGGTAGCGCGAGAGCTAAAAATAAGATGAAACATAAATGATGTCGGTGAAAATTTCCAGTGCACAATGGCGGAGGCGAATTTGTAGTTATCATTTTTGACTTAGATGTTATTCACTCATTGGTTACACTAAAAATAAGTAAGCCCTGAAATAAAATCGTTTGCATAAATAAGCCCAAATCTTCAATTTAATCATAGTCAGGGGGAGATCGGAATACTCAGGAGAGATGATAATTGATAAGACTAATGAGACGTCGTGTACATCTTGGAAACGAAATCGAAGAAAAGCAGTACGAGGTGTGATGAGCAGATGGCAGGACAAGGTTTAGGAGAGAAAAAACGATTTTCTGGTCTTCTGTGAACCGATCAGAAAGCTGTGGCCGCTACCAACAAAATGAAGGATTCGTACGATCTTGAAAGAAGTACATCACAACGTAAAGATGCCAACAAAATAAAGTGTTCTGTAGTTAACTGCATAAACTCAAATAACGAGAATCAATCGGGGGAAATGGAATGACAATTAACTAAACTAATGAGCACTGGGAAAAGCAGAACCAAGTCCTCAGGAATGAAAGTTTGAAGCTGATCCGTTACAGCATAAGCTAAGAATATCGTATGTGCTAACTCCGGGTTGTTATTGAGCGATGGGCTTGAGCCAGAGTCATACCTGAAGCTAACGCATGTACAAGATAAATTGGGTAGATCGGAACCTCAGGGTTGCCGGACTGATTTGATTAAGACTGATGCAGCTAGACCAAGCAAGTGCTACATAAGAAGCGAAAGTGGGTAGCACACTTAAGTGAGACATAAGTCCCGGAGGATCAGGGATGGGAGATAGAAGTTTGTCAACAGGTGGTCAATTGATGGGAACCAAACTCATCTACTGTAAGTATTCGAACAAGGCCAGACAGGAAGGTACTTTGTTTTCACAAGAACAAGGAGCTTGGTTATAGAGAATTCTACGAAATCCAGCTTCCCCTATCATTTCTTCTTCAGCTCTTGATATTTGACCGTAGCTCCCGCGGAAGACAAACCACGGCTCCAGCATGTAGAGCACGGCAACACGGGAATGAAGGTTCTAGATACTTGTCGCGAGAGCTGTCCCATGGTAGGGCAAGATGCGTATCTAGATAGTAACCAGCCGCCATCTAAAAAGTATAAGCCTTTTAGCACCTGAACCACTTTGATTATAGGCGACCTTGCCATGGGAATGTTCTCACGAGCTAAATGGCAAGCCATTAGATTCGTTCTAGCTTAGACGATAATCCCTGAGGCCGAACTAAAGGTACATTCGATTCGGTTGACACAATTATGACCTCTTCATAGGATTAGTTACTCTTATCTACGAAGTTATGGCCTATTCTTTCATAGTTGTTGAGCTTATTTCCATTTAGAGTGAATGTTCTTGATGAAGAGATTCGAAGGTCGATCCCACCAGAGGATGACGGACAGCTAGGGAAAGGCTTTACTGGAACATCCCTGTTGACTATGTTTCCGAAACAACCTCCTCCGATTCCGGTGAGGACGTGCTAAGGCTTAGGGCATATATAGATGATTCAGGGACAACCTAGTAAGTTTTCTTGACTCGAATATGGCTATAAGAATGGTACCCTGTTCTGGTGATATCCATCGAACAACGGGCGAAGCTAAACACGCCTTCAGCGGAATCGAGGGAGATTGCCTCGACAGGATTGTTCCAGAAGAATCCACTGTCCCCTTATGGTGGGATCGACCTTCCAACCTAATCTTTTCAGCAAACAGCTCTATTCGAAATAGAAGTTCAACAGTTACGAAACCCAACTCTCCGCATACCTCTTCCTTAATCTATCTCGGACGCACAACCTGATCCGCATTTCCAGGGATGCGCTATATGTCGATAGCAAATAAAGGATTCGCGCTTTGATTTTCCCACGATGAATAAGCATCAAGTTTCCATTGCATTACGAATAGACTTGTTTCCAGGGCGAAGTGCGGTTTCTACCTCACCTAGGCCTCATCAGCGCCCCCAGAGGGACATGAAACTAGGTAAAACAGCGTGAACCCGACAATAACACCATGACATACTTTCAAGTATGTCCATGAGTCATAGAGCAGACGTCAATCTCAAGGTTAGACCCCTCCCATCGCAATTTGTGATGGGATCATTGAAGACGCAATTTAATTCGCTATTACCATAAACCACATTACATATTTTCGGTTCTAAGTAGGTTTTTGAGTCCAACAATTTATCGTAAGAAGTATATTCACTCTATCCCGTTTTCCCACAATAATGTGAGCAGGCCTCATGTTTTTTCTGGATGTTAAACCATCACTCATTCACATCCACCTCCGATTCATGGGCACTCGTAAGCGTCGCGTAGTGGTTAGTGTCTAGGCTACGCTGCACCGCCTGCACTACAGTCCCTGTGGTCGCTGATGATACCTAGACGAGATCGATAATTGCCTCTGAGAAGCAAGACTGTGATATTTAATAGAAATGAGGCATATTCACCACTGTTGGAAAATGAAAGTACATGTATATCACTATCTTATCCTGAATAAGATAAAGAATCCTTACTCGGGATCCGCTGGCTCTCCAAGACATAATTTAAATCAAATTAAAACAAAATAATAGTTTATTACGTCAAATCATATTTATTAAACAATTAGGTCCATGTGTACATGTGCATCAGGTGCGTGAGGGCAGATAAGTTAGCGCGTATACTGGGCGAGTACAAGCAAGTTAATATACACAGAGGGATTTGTAGCTGAAATATTTAGGGTATACCTATGCCGCCTTTGCTCGCCGTTAAGGGAATCAATGAACAAAGCTAGTCAGAGATTTCATAGATTAAAAGAGAGAAATACCAGATTTGAATGCTTAGGCTGTCATTCCAGAAAGACCAATGCTGGTTTGGACGCTTTTCTTGGCTATTTCACAGAATTTTTCTCTATCTTCACGCCAGGTTTTCGCTGCGTCTACGTTGGCAGCACTTTCATCATTCGGTTCTAAAATGAAATCACATGGATGATCTATTTTTTTCAGTTATGCCTACAATGAGGATAAATCGTAGTAATTGGGCTAATTCCACTCCCACGGATAATGGTGCGAACTAATCTTCGACATAATTACAGGCTTTCCAGATGTCAATAACGGCTAGAAAATTCAAGTGACCTTTGCACTAAATCAATATAAGCACGCAAATAGTCCGGATGATTCAAACTTATAATGGTTAGTAGCGATTAAAATGGGGAAAATGCGCACACACCCCGGAACAAGATAAGGGACATAGCTTACTCATTTCATTAAGCAGCAAAGATACGTCCAGTCAAGAGTTTGATGGTGAATTTTCATGCAACGATTTAATCTATTAGTATTACTGGTGGACAACTAACATTTTGGTAAATTTAAAACAAAAGTATAGAAAGGCTAGGGCCAGCACGGAATTGAACCCGATAACCTAAGGAAAAATTTCAAGGCTATTACCAAACGCGTTATCCTTACCGGCTAGCATGCTGACAACAGAAAGAAGAATCTTCTCAACAGACTGAACAGGACTCCAGCGCTCTACTGAACTCTCGTAGCCCATTGGGTCGTCCCCGGGGGCGTGAAGAATGGAGATGCAGACACGACCATCAGGATAAACTACAATAAATACATACAAATCTTATGACAAGAAATATAGAAGAAATTAGCAGATAATGCGAGCTCACTGTTGGGATGAAATATTTCAGTGAGGAACCTCATTTTCGGTGGAGATAGCGGGTAATCCATAGGGAAGTTCAATTTAGCTGCAAAGACACCACCTTCGAAGGGAGTCCCTTCAGGGCCTCTGGAAATAAAAAAAGAATTAATGTGTTGTGATGAGTAAGGTATTCAGTGACAATAAAGCAGAGAAAATAAAAAAGAATAGTGCTCTCACGCAATCAATGCTTCCCATTCAAAGAAATTTTTCTCATCCACAGGTCCCGCCACGATACCCTCAGGGGGATTAACAGTTAGCTCTTAATACGAAAGAAAGGATCACAAGATAAAATAATAAATAATACAATAAAAGCGGCTCTAAGCATAATTAATGAGAAATATATTAACAAAGACTCAAAACACAGATAGCGTAATTACACACGTTTGTATTCTGCCATGAGTCGCTTCAACGCATGCCCGGCCATCATGATCTGGCCGGTAGTAGACTAACCAATTCAAAACGAAATGAGCACATAATGTAGGACGGTTTAAAGCATTACTTATTTATGAGCCTTGTGATAACATGATATTTAAAAGGAAGGCAAACAACAATTCAACCACTGATTTTAATCATTTAAAAAAGTTTATTAGGAGTGCCATCTAAAAGGATATCTTAGGTTTTATCCCTTTTATATTCTCTAATTGCATAAATTTACTTATATAATATGCTAAAATTTTCCGATTGTCTTTAGAGTTCTTAATATTTTTCAATTTAATGATTAATGCAAAGATTATACATTCTTCTTGGTTCATTGATATAGGATGCGAGAATATCAGTATAACCTAAACTATGATTTGTAGGATCTATGTTTTATTAGAGGATGGAGAGATGGTTGAATTTTTTAACACACTTATATGAATAGGCGTCACCTTCTCTATGACTTTATTTTAGTCTTCCTCCTCCAAAATTATATAGATTTGGAATGGATTATAAATACATCGTCTGGCCCCCAGCATAACATAAAATATGAACCTAAGTGGGAAAAAGCAACTCATGAGTTCAACACTGCAATTTTCTACACTATTTACATTCTTAGCTATATATTTTACGAGGGTATCAAGTATCACCACGTGAAATCAAAACTTCAGTTTACTTTTCGTAAATATATATTTTGCGAAGCAAGGCTATGCGGAAGTAAATGTAAACAGGTCTGTTCATACTATTGTGGCAAAATTCAACCAGTACTCTCAATCCTACGAGCCCTAGGATGAATATAATGCTTATTCTTCGTAATTCGCGCTATCCTTTTATTCTTTAAAGATATATATATATAATCTAATTGAGATGAATTAAGATTCGAACTATACTGATAATAGATATGAAAACCAAGATTATGTGGCCTTTTGTGTGGTCGCAGTCTCCTTTCGTTGTATAGAAGTTGTTTGACCTTGTTT